GGAATGGTCAATTTTCATTTATTTTCTTAAATAACTTTAAAACTATTCTTTTTAAGATTATAAAAAATATATATTTGAGACCCTTACAATAAGCCCTTTCGTTCGATATGTCACACGGTATATGTACTAAATTTCAACCCTGTCTAATCTAATTTAGTAAAGTGATTTTTGTCGTTTTTTTTTGTGAGAAATGGTCCAGTAGATTCGAAGCAAAAAGAGTGTTACAGACGGACAGATAGACTCACGAGTGATCCTGTAAGGGTTCGTGTTTAATTCGGACGTACGGAACCCTAAAAAGAAACAACGATTCGTATTATTTACTAATTCAGAATAATTGTTTTAAAATGTGCGAATTTTGATGATCTACAGTGCAATGAATATTCAATACAGATTGTTTCAAGTTCGCTGACCCGTTTAAGCGAATAAGAAAATTGCAATCGATTTTTAAGAATGCAAAAAGGTCGTTGGGGAAGGGACAAGAGGCAAATAAACTCTAGTGTATACGCATTATTGACGGGAGTGATCCATCTCTTAAATTAAAAACCGCAAATACGTAGGCATCGATAATCTTTTTTGAGATCTGATAAAATTTAGACAATTGTTTGAAATCTTATCGCTTATTCTCAAGTACATAGTATCACCTATTCTTATTAAGTACAAAAAAATGCGGTAGGTATTCAGTAGATACTAAACTGTCGTAGAAACTGTAACGATTTATTTTTTTTTTTCAAAAAACGCTCAATTAAAAAGGTATTTAATCTTAAGGATCATAAAATTTTTAATTCGGCACCTAAAGTTTCTTGTTCTTTGTCCTTTTCAGAAAATGTCCTCGTCCACAATGGAAGCAGACATGGACACCAAGCCCTACTTCTCGACCCATCCGACCCAACCCAGCGAAATTCAACAGTACTTTAGGGACGCCACCATTTTTCTTACAGGAGCTACGGGATTCATAGGCAAACTTCTCATTGAAAAGCTACTAAGATCATGTCCGGATGTGAAAAGGATTTACGTACTTGTGAGACCCAAAAAGGGAAAGGATGTTAAGACCAGAGTCCAAGAGTTAGTAGATGGCGTTGTAAGTATTTTTCGTGTTCGATTTTTTTAATATTTTTACTGATTGATAAATAAGTAGAAAGGGACTAGATAATTGTGACTAAAAGTTTCTAATAAGTGACATGTTATTCTAATGGACCTTCCCCGTACTCCGAAAATTCTTTTGGCAAATCTAATGTGTGATTGGTTCAATGAGAAAATGTTTATTTTTCGTTCGTACGGAGACGGGACGGACCGGGTTCTACTCCCGGCAATTCCAGTAACTCTTTTTTTTTTAAATACGTTTGCTTTTTTATAAAATTATGCTGATATAATCAACATTTATCGGTGGATTATTTCTGGTTTTAGGCGCCCCCTTTTACAAAACGAAAATGAACTGATACAACGCAAAGAAAAAATCGTAAAAATTAACCTTTTCGTTGTGACATTGGACTTTTAATTAGAAATATTACAATTATTATGCCCTCGCGTTATGCAACGTAAATATTAAAAAAAATTAACCATTAAATAATTAAAAAGAAATTACTGCTTCATGTTTACATTGTTTAACTTACATATATCTAAAAAAGCGTGGATTATAATTAAATCTAGCATTATTTAAAGCTGACGCAACTGCAAATAATTAACAATTAATAACAGAAAAAATGCAATTATAACATAAAAATTGCACCATCAGCAGTTGAGAGCAAAACAATTAGAGAACATGTCACTTTATTAAAAATAATTGATGTTGCCCATTGCCCCTTTAAAAAGGGGTCGTCTATAAAGGACTTCCACTGTTTCTCCACATTTTTATATCTCTCCCCCCCCGGGGGGTCACAGAAAGTAACATTTTGACGACCTCCCCTTTATAAAGACGTCACAAATTGCAGACACTTCCTCCAAATTTTGAAAAGAAAATTTATTAAGGAAATAAAATTATCCAACAAATATTCTGAAATCGTCACAATTCGATGGACGACCCCAAAATTACAGTTCGAAAGTTGTTATTTTTATCAAAACATAAAATAAATTTTTGTAACTGCATGATAAAAACTAATCGCTATTATAAAAAAGTGTTAGCAAAGTAAGATAGGTATGAAAAGTTAGAAAAGAGGATTTGAAACGAAATGTAGTTAATAATCTAAAGGATTATATTGTCACAAATTAATCAAAAAATAATAACGATCGATTTTTTGATCAGGCCCCGAAATCTAGTGGTACTTTGAACCTATTGATAATCTTATCAAATAAAGATTTTTTTATCGATTGACGCTGCCTAGACAAATATGCGTAATATGTACCGTAATCAATTTTAGATTTCAGTCGAAATCATTCATAAACGTCAAAACGTTCTAACGACAAGGACGACCTACTTTTTTATTTTCTATTAACTACGTATTTTTTTATGCATAATCGAATTTGTTTTTAACAAACTACGTATGTTTTTTTTTGAAAAAATAAATAAAAAGTAAAATATTTTTTTAATGATGTGTTGATTATATAGTACTTTAGGGGTGGTATTTTAAAAACTGATGATATTGTTGTGTAACGAACTTTTGTGCAAAATTTCGAGCTTCCTGACTCAGCGGTTTGGGTTGATGCATCACACTTTGAACTCCTTTTACACTCATTTGGGGGTTGAATTTTAAAAAATCCTTTCTTAGTGCTCGCCTACATTCCATAAGGACCGTTTGTGCCAAAGGACCCTGCCAGATCCTTACGGAAAATGACCCACTGTCAAACTGTTTGAAACCTTAGATTGTGGTAGTTCTCGACGTAACTGTAAATGTACCTTGGAAGTCCTTATGGAAGCACACAATTCTAAAGGACCATAGCTTAAAAAAAATTGATATCTTTACGATATAACACCTATTCAGACCTTTGATCTACACGTAGGAAGCTACCAGAATCTGAAGTTTCAAGCAGTTTAACAGAGTGCTAGTTTCTGTAAAAATCTAGCGTTTCAGAATCGATCGGACCCTTTTATGACCACCGTAGGAATTACGACTCTTTTGAATATTTACTCGCTATAATATTTATACTGAACTAATGCCAGAATTTCGTTTCTATAGATTTTCAACACACTGAAGAAAAATAATCCCGAGGTGTTTGATAAAATTTTTGCCGTCAGCGGCGATTGTTCGTTACCAGATCTAGGAATGTCTGACGACTTTAAAAAGACTATGAGTTCCGAAGTAAATTGTATTATACATTGCGCTGCAACCGTCAGATTCGACGAACCCCTACCTTCTGCGGTTAATATCAATGTGAGAGGCACGAGGGATCTTATAACTTTGGCAAAGAAAATGGAAAAGCTCGAGGTAAGTTTACAAAAACGTTTAAGTTTGCGCAATGGGGGGTAAGAAGTGGAAATAAAAGTACGAACTTGTTTTTCCTTTTCCATATATATTCACCTGCTACCCTTATACTTTTTTTTGTCTAAAAAAATACCCCGAAACTGCATCCTTCACTTATTCGTCGCTTGAAAATTTCTTCTCACGAAGACTTTTTTCTAGTTTGGGAATAGCTATTAATCGCTGTGAGCTAGTTCAGGACTATAGGGTGGGTGAGCCAAAATTTCGATGCAGATAAAGGACACTTTCGGTCAATTTTCCTCATATTTTTTCTTTGACTGCTTCCTTTAACCGCTCTAGTATTGAAGCATAGTATTCTCCAGTTATGGAAACACCTTTATCTTTATAATCGATCAACAGGATCTCTTCTGAGTCCCAAACTGTCGCCATGATTTTCCCTGTCGACTGTGGCCTCTTAAACTTCTTGGGTGGCGGTGTGCCTGTTTTGTGCCACTTCATAGAGTCCTGTTTGGACTCAGGCTCGTAATGACGAACCCAAGTTTCGTCCCCAGTAACAATTCGAGTCAATACTCCATCTTTATCTTCACTACAGAGGTCCAAAAACTCACGAGAACACTCACATGGTGTTGTTTTTGAGGCGGGGTGAGAATTCTAGGCACCCATCTTCTGCTGACTTTAGTTATGCCAAGATGATCGTGAAGAATTGGTTGTATCTAATACTCCTACCATTTCTGCGAGCTGTTTCTTCTTAAGTCGGGCATCTTCCAGTATTAATTTTTCGACTTTTCAATTGATTTCCCGAGTGGTCACCTCAATCGGCAGGCCTGGCCGTGGGTCTTCTTCAAGTGAGTCCCTGCCTTGCTCAAAGAGGGTATGCCACTTGTAAACCATGGTTTTACCTGGCCAAAAGTCCTCGCAAATGGATGACATCTCTTCCAGTACGGATTGATCTGATTTTCCTTGCTTAGTAAGGAACTTATTTACTTGCTTATTTCAAAATTTGCTCCCGATTGACTTGTTCGATCGACGATAGTTCAAAGACCTTTGACATAATTACGATAAAACTTGGTATTTATACCTACTAATAATGAGTTGCTTAATTTGTAATGACTCGAGTAAGTAATGATCTGCCTACCCATTTCGCGAACTTAAAAACGCACCCTCGTATGTAAACTTCTACTGTAGCTAGGCTGGTAATCTCATTCGGTGCTGCTATCTCGTCCGAAAATACAATAAAACAATTCTTTCAGGCTTTGGTTTACGTGTCGACGGCTTATTGTAATTGTCCGAGATCTACCGTAAAAGAAGAGTTGTACGATACGCCAATTTCAGCAGAAAAACTTATAACAATTTCCCAGTCTCTCAATGAAGCTACCCTTAAAAAAATCACGCCCACGTAAGTCAAATCAAAAACTGTAGAAACTGATACTGAAACTAAAAACAACAAGAAATAGAATGAGCATTTTCAACGTAAGAAAAAACTAATCATTTGTTTGTGTTGTTCTTTAAAGGATCCTAGGAGAATGGCCGAACACCTACACCTTTACAAAAGCAGTCGCCGAAGATGTTGTTAAAAGTGTTGCTGAAGAATTACCAGTAGCTGTAGTAAGACCATCGATAGGTACGAAAAATTTTATTAATATTTTAAAATAAAATTAATTCAAAAATAAAGTGTCATACCTAGTTCGTGAAAACCAAGCATTCATCCTAACTAATATGGGTGGAATTTGGGTTTGTTTGTTCATTACGATTTCACGCCATAACTACCCCTTCGATCATCATGAAATTTTATACATACATTGTCTGGGGTACAGAAAAGGACATAGGGTACCTTTTATCCAGAAAATAAGTGCTATTCCCGAAGGACAGAAAAAATTAGTTTAATGTGCTTGTTGATAATTTTTAGTGCTTTTTATAAACGGTCTGAAAAGCACAGAAATTTTATGAAAAAATAAAGTTGAAAAATGTTTAGTTCATTTCAATTATGACAATTTGTTATTAAAAATGAGTCTCCACATGTTCCTTTAACTTCGTAAGAAGACTTTTCTACAACATTACCAATAAAAAGGTTTTACCTATTGAGTTCTCCTGTATTAATTTTTTATTTTGAAACCGACATTTTAATTAATTGATTTGCAGTTATTGGCACTGTACGGGAGCCTTTAGAGGGATGGATCGACAATTTATATGGTTCTACGGGGGTTGTTATCGGGGCGTATACGGGGCTAATGAGAACGTTACACTGTGACCCCAACACCCTGGCCGATATGGTACCCGCCGACTTCGTGGTAAACGAAACCCTTGCAGCCACATGGGATGTTGGAAGGTAATAATCACCTCGATAATAAAGATTAATTAAAAGGCGAAACGTCGATGCTGTTTAGATTAAACAAAATGACTTTTCTGCTTTCTAAACATTCGACGTACATTATTTATGCAGTTAATGGTGGAAATAATAAATAATTTATAACACGATTTTCAGAAAAGTCAGAGAAAAGAAAATGAAGAAAGGGAATGGTTACAAACAAACGCAGGAAGAGGTCAACGAGGCGCCAAAGGTATTCAACTGCGTCTCTTCAGTTGACAATCCGATCACATGGAGTAAGTTTTTCGATCGCTTGTACTTGTATTTATGTTAGGCCCGAAGACCGAAAACGCTCAGTGGCCGGAAAAAACGGCCACATCGCGTTCTGGCTGCCTTCGAACGCACAGAACGCGTTTTCGCTGTTTTTAATCGCTCGCAACGCGTTCTGGTAACTGTTAAACAGCCGGAACGCGTTTTGTCAATTGTTGAACGCTCACAACGGGTTCCTAATGTTCGACTTGTATTATTATTTGCCGCTTTCTACCTGCGTACAATGAGATTTACATTGTACTTATAAAACAAATGAATTTCAATCCATTTTTCAGTTTTTAGGAAACAATTCAATTATTGACAACTATAATTGGATACCAAAGATGGGTTCGGTTTTTCTCGCCGAATCATTTCAACAATATTAAATTTCTTATAATTGTTTTTCAGTTCTAGGAAGAAAGTTACACTGAACACTTATATTGTCGAGACTCCTGATTTTTGCGCGCATTTTGAGCATGCTCAACTTCTCGTACAAGCAATTCGTACCTTTCCTCAGACAGCAACATAGATCTATCGTCACAACTATCAATAATTGGTTTTGCTTTATCATAAAAAATTTCTTTCGCTGATTTATCGGTCATTTTAATGAAAGTGTAACTTTTCAAACGACTTTAGTAAGTTGTTTAGTCAATGACGAACTGATCTTCTCGCTACACTGACGAGAACTGTACTGATTTTTCATGAAGTCAAGTTAGTTATTATATACTCAAACTACTAAGTCGAACATTAAGAACGCGTTGTGGGAGTTCAACAATTGACAAAACGCGTTCCGGCTGTTTAACAGTTTAAAAACAGCCAAAACGCGTTCTGTGCGTTCGAAGGCAGCCAGAACGCGATGCGGCCGTTTTTTCCGGCCACTGAGCGTTTTCGGTCTTCGGGCCTAACATTTACACCCTGTAAATTATCTTCATCATCATCATTGCAAGGCCATCAGTCCAAAGACTGGCTGGACCCGTATATTTACTCATTTCTTTCGAAAGCCAATCTTCGCATTTCCTCAAAACTACATAATTTTATCTATTCGCAAAAAAGTAATTTAATTCACATATGTCTACCTATGCCCCCCCTGGAATCCTATTTCTGTTAATAATATGCCCCTAACTATAATAAATGCGACAAGATATTCTAAGTTGTGAGAAAGATAAACAATTGTAGTGAAAGGTAACATTTAAAGGAATAAATACAACAAGGATTATTAGGCTTATAAATAAGATTATTACCAGGGATTAACGGTACTTTTTAAAATGCTAAGAATGAGAAGATATTCTGGGCTCTTGGTGAATATTAACACTTGAAATGATAGGTAATAATTGAAGGATTAAATGTAGGAAGGACTTCAAGGCTTATAAATCAAATCATCACCAAAGATTAAGGGTACTTTTTAAAATGCTAAGAATGAGAAGATATTGTGGGCTCTTGGAGAATATTAACACTTGAAATAATAGGTAATATTTAAAGAATTAAAAGAGTTTTATCTCGGACTAAAGGTGTCGACGAAATTGTTAAGTGTTAATACGAGTTTTAATTTTTAAAGAAATAATATTTACTTAAAATGAAAGATAATTAAACAAACATTTAACTGAAAGCGGTATCAATTCCGGTCGCAAACTAAACAGTGGACTAATAATAATAACAATAATAAATACTCTCCATTATTAATAGAAATAGGTGTCCTACCATCCTTGTCTTCCATAGCGCCCTTAGTTGTCCTACCTTTTCTAGCACTTCCTTATATTTAACCTTGTCTTTTCTGTCATGCGCACCATTCACGTTTCGCACTCGAACAGAGGCAAAAACACATGTTTACAATTTAAAAATTTACTTTGTATCTTTCAGAAAAATACATGAGTATCCTGGAAGTGTACGGAATGGAAATGCCTAGCATGTTCCAAATTTGGTACTACTGGTTCACCTTAAATCCTAATCGTTTCGTTCACTTGTTGTTCGTCTTCTTCTTCCACAGTTTGCCGGCTTACGCGGCGGACGTGATACTCTTTTGTATAGGCAAGAAACCCAGGTAAGAAATTAACAGACAAATCAAAATGTAACACGTAAATCAAATAGAGATACGCGGAATTCGATTTGAATCAGTTCTACCTTCATCTGCATTCATCTAGTGTGTCGTAAGCTTCATGTAACCTACCCCAACGTGTTGTAACTGGACTAAGTTCTACTTAAAACATACCCATTTTTATTTTGCTTTTGTTCTAACTTATTTATAACTATATAAAGCTATCCTAGAGTGTCCAAAATTAATTGGATGTTTCTTAATACCATCTTCCACCATTAGTTTTGTTATAACATGTCTATACCTAACCTTATCCAGACTTATGTCGTTCATCACAACTGAAATCGATTTGACACAGTTGTATCTTCATCTTTATTGGTTTAGGATGTCGTAAGCTTCACGTAACCAACCCTAACGTGTTATAATCGGACCAAGTTCTACTTAAAACAGACCTCTTTCAACTTGCTTTTGTTCTAACTTATTTATACCTATATAAAACAATCCTAGCGTGTCCGAAACTAATTGGATTTTTGTTAATACTATTTTCCATCAATAGTTTCGCTCTAACATGTCTATATCTAACTTTATCCTAACTTATGTCTTTTATCATAACTGAATTCGATTTGAATCAATTCTACCTTCGTCTGCATTGATCTAATGTGTCGTAAGCTTGACGTAATCAACCCTAACGTGTTCTAATCGGACTGAGTTCTACTTAAAACAGACCTCGAACTATTTATAACCACGTAAAGTTTTCCTACTGTGTTCCAAACTAATTGAATTTTTGTTAATACTAATTTTCTATCGTTGTATCATGTGCAGACCTAAAATCGTATATTCTAACGTTGACATTATTTTGTTTTAACATGTCCAAACCTAACCTAACCTAACCTAACCTAACCGAACATAACCTAACCTAACCTAACCTAACCTAACCTAACCTAACCTAACCTACTGTAACGTAACTGAAACCGTTGGAAAATAATCCTTATTTCACCTGACTTCTTCAAATATGACCCAGTTTAATCTTGTTATGAACTGACAGGAGATTCATTAATTGTTTTCTTTCTAGAATGGTAACAATTTACAAAAAAGTGGGAAAATTCTCGGACGTCATTTCGTATTTCTGTACGAGACAGTGGCAGTTTACCAATTCGAACAGCCGGAAGTTGTGGGAAGAAATGAACGATCAGGATAAACAGTTGTTCACGTTTGACATGAAAGAGTTCGGATGGGAGAAGTTTTTATTGTCGGCAATGAAAGGGGGTAGAATATATTTGCTCAACGATCCCATGGACACCGTAACCGACGCCCTCCGGAGGTTATACTATTTCCGGATAGCACATTACGTTGTCGTGGGAGCTGTCTGTCTGGGACTGTTGAAAGTTACGTCAATCGTCCTGCGTTCGATTGTTCTGTCCTTTTAACTGAATCTGGCGCTAGATCGCTTATTTAAGGGCATTCAATGACGGTTCCTCTGTTCTTAAATATTAAGAAGCAATTATCGCGTTGAAATTCTCAATCAACGAGGAAAATGCACTGAATTTGATTGATTGTTGGGATCTATTAAGGATGTAGGAACTTATTGTGACTTATTGTGATTGTGCTATGTGAACGATATTAGTTATATTAATTATATTATGGGATCTGTCTAAAATTATGTACAAAATGTTAATTAAATTAATTTAGTTTTTTATCGTTTGTTTGAATGTTAAACAGCCATCATGACGGAAACAAAATGGAAGCGGTATTTACAAAACAAATAAAAAAAGTGAATCAAAAATATTGGTATGCAAGGAAGGAAAAGTAAGGAAAGAAGTCGCTGATCTTCGGTAGTTAGGAAGTCAGATAATTCAGGATGGAAGGAGTAGTAGAAATATAAAACAGGGGATAGCGCAGGGTCTGTACGGGTGCGAAACGTGGACGGCGTCCAAAATGTGGTGTTACAGGTAAACGATGAGGATACCGTAGATAGAGAGGGTTAAAGCGAGGAGGTATTAGAAAGAGTAGGAAGATATGGGATGTTCTAGTTTTAGGGAAATGCAAAGATTGATTCCGAATAGAAAAGAGTGAAGGTGCGTGTTCAATCAGTCTTAGGACTGACGACCCAATGTTGATGATATTAAACAGATTAAAAAAAAATAATAAAATAAAAGTTTTCATAAAGGACACGATTTTAATTAATTTTTGTTCGTAATAATCCTGTAACTATTGCAGGTCTTCAATCGTCAATACGCTAAAAATTATAGGTTTAATTTGAACTTAAAATATGCAAATTGAATACTATTTGAAGTTGTTCTATTAAAAATGTTACTCGAACAAAGTATTAAATTAATAAATTCACTTTCACTAAATTAAACTTTGCAACTAAAAGGCTAGGCCTTCATGACAGTTCCGAATAGAATGAGTTAAGAAGTGGAGAATTTTTGGGACACCATGTATGTTTCATGGGTACGGAATTTTTATTCGTAATTTCAAAAGTTTCATGAGTATCTGTTAATTTTTCCGTCTTTGCTGTGCCGATGGCATATGCACCCACCACACCCATCGGGGTCATTATTGATGTCAGGCATCCACGGTTCATGGTCCACTTCAATGTTACAAAGGAAGGCTTGGGTTAATACACGATCATATACACATAAGTAAAGTAAAATGTAGTAGGCAGCACTACTCCACGCATTACCTTGACTTTCAGTTTCATCTTATTTGTATTGATGCGTGTTACAGATACAGTACGATTCAAACGATAAATTACCGAACTACTATAAATCGAAATTGTTACTGTAGATGGGGATCGTGATTTCAGGCTTACCAGGAAAGGCCCACAAATTACGTAACGCAGGTTTGAGGAAGGAAATCTAACCTGGTTTATGCTACCGCTGCGTGGAGGGTCAAAGTTTCCATTACGTAACGATTTTAGAACCGGAAGAACACTAATGATAATGAGAAATTGTAATAGTTTATTCAAAAGTGAGTAATTGTATTGGAAATTAAAAACTTGTTCTTTTTTTTTGTAAAATTTTTGTAATGCATGCGTTACGTGACGGAATAAAAGGGCAGGGAGGGGTCAGCCTAGACGTTACGGGCCTGTTACGAGCGGAAAGGGGGTTAAAATATTTGATGAATTTTTGGGATCATGTCCATTGGATTTTGGTATTACAATGGGTCATTATAATTTACGTTGAATCGGAAATTTTTATGAATCCCTTTCTTTTGAAACTGCTGGATCCGTCCCTGACTTTTAGATTTCTTTTATTTTAACTTCTGATTATGGTATTTAATTAGAGTCGTACGTTTCCTGATTCCAACCCGTTTTTAACGGTCACGGTCAGACGTCCTCTCATGTGTCAATGTATCTCAGTATGTTTGACTCATTTCGAAGGCCTTTAGAACGAATCTCTTCGTTCGAAAGTGTTGCTTATTACGTTAAGGAAACAAATCGAATGGATTTTTCCCTTTGAATTAGAAATAATTGAAAAATTGCGTCATCCGTGCGACCCTACACCCTGGTCTCTAAATTCTCTCATGAACCGAATGAGTTTTCTCGTTCGTTGAAAATCAAATATTTGTTGGGTGTTACATGTAAAAATCAGTGTTTTTTCGTAAATTATCGAAAGTGTAAACTTAATAGGTAATTGGGTCACTTCAATAATTTCCGAATGTGATGTCTCTAACTAAAGATAATCACTATTTATTAAATTGAATATATATACAAAACTATATACAAAAATGATTTTGGTGGTAACAAATGGTTGGTTGGTTGGTACTGTCTCGGCGAGACAGCTTGGTCAATCTCTTAAAGGGTACTTACTTACACTGGTAACTGGTAAAAAACTGGTACTTCGATTTTCTCCTTTGGCGACAAAGATTTCTAAAGGGGGTGAAATTCTTAGAATCTTTGCCGTTAAAAACATACACATTGAAAGCTGAGGGTTCAAATGGTCATAAAAGCAGGTACAAAATGTTAGTTTGTTTAGCTTAAAAAACGTATTTCTTTTGCTTCAAAAAAGAAAGAGGAAAAAATCGGAATATTTGAAAATAAATATTAGTTAAATTTTACTTACTACTACATTTACGAATTAATAATAATATGCATAAAAAAAAG